GATGTGTTGGCGAGGTCAAACGGCGGGATCATGCGGGGGAGGGACCGGGGTGTCGGGTGGGGGGCATGGGTGACGGGGCGGGGGTGCGTGGCACTGCCTGCCACCTTGTGGGCGAGGCGCCGAGGTCAGTCAGCGGGACTCAGGTGACGGGGCGTGATTGCGGGGGGGGGGGGGGGGGGGGCGGCCCGCGCGCGTGTTGGGGGGCCCTGGGGGCCCTGGGGGCCTTGGGGGCACTGGGCAATGGGCGCCCTGCGGGAATGGTGGACGGACCCGCCAGCTGCAGGCAGGTCTGGCTAGTGGCTACCAGTAGCCCGTGTCCTAGCTGGGCAGGTGTGGCCAGGCGATGGGAGGGTGGCCCTCGGCAGTGTGCTCAGTGGGCTGGGCTGGGGGCAATTATGGTGACATTGTGTAAACAAAAAAAAAGGATAGTAAGTCTAGTGACGTAGTGTGTGGGCTGGGTGGGGTACCATGTGGGCGTGGGTGCGGTACTATGTGTACGGTGGCCCGGTGGGTGGGGTGCTATGTTGGTAACTCGGCAGGGTGTGGCATTTATGCGGGCACGCCGGCACGGGCTCGGGGGTGGTACCGCGGGACTATGTGGGCTGGGTGGTGTGCTATGTGGGCTGAAGGTTTGTCAATGATACTCAAAAAAAAAAAAATTGCACCATTTGGTCCATTTCCAATTCTGCATAGATATAAAAAAAAAAAGAAAAAAAAAAAAAAACATTGCACCATCTGAATAGATATACACTCTGCGAGGCTACGAGGCTACGAGGATGCGAGGATGCGAGGATGCGAGGGTAACAAAATAAAAGTACAACAAGTTGAAGTGAAGCAATTTTCTGAACGGCCTCTGCCTGCCCGACTATAGGCTCTCATGCTACGGGCCTAGGCCATATGGCCTCCCATCCTAGTGATAGCCCGGGCCTGCTTCTCGAACAACGCAGCCAGCGCAAGTATCTGCTAAATCCCTCTCTCTCTCTCTCTCTCTCTCTCTCTCTCCCTCCCTCTCTCCCTGTCTCTGAGTCTCCGTCTCTTTGCGGCCAAGCGATAACCCGTGCGTCTGTTGAAGAGTGACCTCCATTTTGCGCAGCAACCGCTGTGCCTGAGCTCGCCGATCTATGGGGGCAGGAATCATCGCCGATGGTGTGCCTAGTGCTCGCTGCCCTTGCGGCCCGAGTCGTGTCCTCGGTCTCACTCGTCGCCCTCCTCCRTCATCTCCATCTGCCGCCCATGGTTTGGGTACGTAATCGGAGTCCCCTGCATCATCAGTG